CACCTCTTTTCCCTACTCTCCTGAAGGAAAAAGGAGGAATCCTGAGAGGTGAACAGTGGGCTGCTGGGAATATTATCTCCATTTACAAAGCAAAAACCCTTCAAGAGATTACCTTCGGTAACTTTATTGTTAAATGTATTATACCTTGTGGAAGACAGTGGTGTTATCTGGGTTTGAAGAACAAGTGTTGTTGATTCCAAGGCAACAGGCGTCTATGCTAAGAATAAGACAAAGAGCTATATTTATGCTTCATCCTTACCCCTCCCCCTTAAAAAAGAACTAGAACACAATTAAAGGGCACATGTCATAAAATCTGATTTGGAGAATACGTGATGAAATTTTATTCTCAAGAAAAGAAAATGTTCTGTTTTTCCCATTATAAATGCCTTTATTTCCTGCCAAACCTCTTCTTATCCTCAATGTCTTAGAATATCTTGATATGACACAGCACAGATAGGGCAGCACAAACACAGAGTTATAATTTAATTCAACATATACTCATGGCGAAGAGTTATACTAAGAATACCTCCCTCAAATCCCTTTTCCTGCCACCTATAAAATAGCTCATGATATTAGGACTCTTTTAAAAAAATTATCCCATTTAAAAAAGATAGTAATGTTTCCGTTTGGACTTTGCCACAGGCACACTGGGCTGGAAGTGGAAAATGTGGTCAGGCTTTCTCATGATGGGGCAGATTCTCATGGCCAGTCCTGGGCATCTGGGTAGCATTAGGGATGTGCAGAGGGGCCAGCCTGGCCATGTCACTTCCTAAGGCCAGGTGGTTGTGAAAGACCTAGGGGGCGGGACATAGGCAGGGAATAAATGTTCAGTGTTGAGATAAGCCCTTAGGATCTGAAATCTCAAGATCGGAATGATCAGTATTCATTTTGTTGGCTATAAAAATAAACTCTGGAGAGGGGTTGGAGAGATATTGGTCAAAGGAAACAAAATTTTAGGAGGAATAAGTTCAAGAGATCTATTATGAAGCATGTTGACTTGACTATAGTCAAGAAATTGCTAAGAGAGTAGATTTTAAGCGTTCACACCACAAAAAATATATATAAGTGTATGAGGAAATGCATATGTTAATTAGCATGTTTTAGCCACCTACAATGTATACATGTTTCAAAACATCATGTTGTTTACTATACATATATATATATATAATTTTTACTTGTCAATGAGAAAAGAAAGAAAACTCAGCCCTTCATCAACTGGCTCAGAGACATTTGAGGACTTGAATATTCATGTAGTAGAGGAGGTTTAAATCAAGCAAAGCTCTGTTCTTTTTTAAACATGTAGTCCTCTTATTGTACTTTTTTTTTTTTTAATGACTTTGACTTCTCCTTGCATTGTCTTAGTCATTCGAACAGAAGGGCTCCTCTCTGAGGCTCTTTGAGCCTCACGCAGAAGGCTCCATCTAGCACCTCTAGATGGCACAGAGGCCAGGGCATCTCTGCCACCCCAGGATCTATGTCTGTGTTCAAAACCCCCTTGGGCTACCTCCAAAATCACGTGCATGGCACTGGTTTTCATTTCTCTCTTTTAGGCACCCAAGTAAGAAATTATACCTTTTCCCCCCAAACTCATTTTTAATGTTTATACTTTGTCTGGTACTTCTGTGCATGTGCCATAGGAGGGGGCACATCTACATCAGCTCAGGTTCTCTTTACTGAAGGAAGTTGTCTGCAACTCCTTTACATCATGAAAAATATTCTGCTAAATTCAGGGACCTTGTAGGTACAAAATCTGATCTTTAAGAAAGGAATTGCAACAAAATCAGTACAGCTTAAAGTATAACAGACTAAGTTGATATTGATCATATTGACTGTTTCTGTGTTCTAGGCTCCAAAAGCTAGATTCTCCTACCATCATCTGCAAGGTACCATTACTTCCAGGAAGAATTCTATTTCTTAGAACCATTAGAAAGACTTTCATCACTGGAAGGGAAACTTAGCAGCCTTCAAGGCCAGACAGGTAACACAGATGAACGAGTCTGGCTGGGTGTAAGACAACAAGGAATGCTGACTGTAGTAAAATAGAAACCTCAAGCCCCTTCTAAGAGGTATTCAGATTCCATTTTAAAAACTATTGAGGTTCAAAAAATCATGTGCAGGCTGAATTCAACCCAAAGGATACCCACTTACCAGCTCTAATTAGTCTGATATTCATTATGGAGGAGGAAATGAAATTTACACAGAATGAATAAATTGCTCACGGTCATATTAAGACTCATTGAAAAGCCAGGACTAGCCTGGCCCCAGGTTCCTAACTTCCCGAAGGAAGCCCTTTCCCCTGCCCCATGCTGTCTCTGGCTCTTAAAATGCCCCTTTAAAAATAAAAAAGGACCCACCTGCATGTTACTTTCATTAAATTAAATGTCGTCAAACTCCTTTTCCCCAGATTTCCTTTAACAACAAATTCTGAATAGCATCAGAATATGGATAAGTTGGTCAAAAGCCCAAGCAGAAGGGAAGGCCAGGCCTGTTAAAATGAAAAGGCTGATGGCTGTTACATAAGTGTGCAGCTCAGGTTTCCCCAACTTAGCAATGAACCTGAACAACCACAGACAGTCTTGTAAATCACTGAGCAAGCCAGAAACTCACACCTGTCTCACTCGGAGAGGGCTCCAGAAGCCCTGACACCATTACTTTGCAGTCACGCCATGGCTAGGGGCCAGACTTTCTCCTACAAAGCATCCTGAGAAATGATTTGGGTCTGGTAGGTGAAGCCTGGCCAGTATCGCTTCTGACATGTAGACCCTGGTCAGCATTTTGTGACCTGCTGCAGGGCCAACATTGGCTTTCAGCCTGTCAGGGGCATTACATCTGTCCTGAAGGAGTTTGAGTTGGCAGGAAAGGGGCAAGTGGTCTAGTGGCAATAACATACTTTTGGAACAAGACAGACACACTTGTGAATGCCTTAGAGAAGTGTGCCTTAGAGAAGTAGATTTGCCTCTACTGCTTCTTTCAGTCAGTCAACCAACCTTTCCTGAGTTCCCACTATGTCCCAGGCACTGTTCTACACCCTGAAGAGACAATGGTGAGCCAAACAGATAGTCCTTGCTTTCTGGAACTTTACATTTCAGTGGGGAAAGATGGACAATAAATAAATGATTCAGTTATCTAGCGTGTCAGAGGGTGAAGGATGTGATGGATGAAACTAAGCAGGGATGGAGAATGGAGAGTGCAGTGTAAATTGTGTGTTCAGGGAAGGCTCAGTGAGCAAGGACTTGAAGGAGGTGAAGGAGTGAGCTATGGAGATATGCAGGGGGAGAGCTCCACGCAAAGACCCTGAGGTGGAAGCATACATGGAGTGTTCAGGGAACAAGGAGGCCAATGTGTCTAGAGGGGGCCAGGTGGCCTACAAGTGGCAGGAGATAGTTGATAGAGGCAATGAAAGGTGATCAGGCTTGAGTGAAATGGGCAGCTGCTGGGGGAAATATCTGGAAGAATTTTCTGATGGATTGATTGAGGGGTCAGAGAAAAAGAATCACCAAGAATGACCCAAAGGTTTTTGGCTTAAGCAACTGGAAGAATGGAGGTACCATTAACTGAGCTGGGACGGCTATGGAAGGAACTGGTTGTGGGGAGGGGCAGAGGATCAGGAGTTCGGTTTTGGAAATATTAAATGAAGATGATGAAGAAATAATTATGTATGAGTCTGAAGCACATGAGAGAGGCCTAGATGGAGGCTATACATTTAAATGGTATTTAAAACTGTGAAACTCAATGTCATCACCAAGACTGATGGTAGGCAGGGAAGAGAAGAGGTTTCAGGACGCAGCCCTGGAACACTTCAACTTGAAAGGTGCAAGCTGCCATGTAGGAGCTGGGTGGCTACAGTGGTGCCCAGGTCAGAACCGGGGCTGAGTTAACAATCGAACCCCTCTTCAGGGACGGCTCTCAGTATAAGGGGGATACCTTGTTTCAGGGACAGCATGTAGGCAATGACTGGTCCATCTGGGGTACAAAGCCCAACCTCCTTACCTTGATTTTGAACAACTCTGAGGGGCCTCCCTAGATCCAGAGCCCCCCATGGTATCAGCTGAGGCCACTGTTTCACCTGCCTTGCTGTTCACCCCTTCCTTGGCTGCCCCTCACAGGGATGTGTTTATAAGGGCATTCCCATGCACAGATTTCCATTTCAATCAATTTCCCAGGGAATCCGTCCTAAAACAGTGGCTTTGGGGCATAGCACTTACTTTACAGTTTGCTCATGTCATGTGATAATTCTACCCTCCTAGAAGGATTGTTATAGGGGTAAGAGACATATGTAGTGTGCGTGGAGCAGTGCGTGGTTAATCACAGACCTCAGAAATGGGGAGCTACTCTCTGAGAATCAGATTTCCATTATTCCACCTTCTCAAACCTGGAAGATGAGAAAAGGTGCCATCATAGTGCTCAGGAGGGCAACCTGTCCTCTCCCTGACTCCCTTGACGACATGCAGATGCCTTTTGTCTGTGCTCTGACAGTACCCTCCACTTCTCATATCATAATTATATGGTATGCTATTCTAGATTACAGTTGCAAATTTCATTTTCTTCCACCACTCTTTCCTGTAAGTTCTTTGCCTGTCTTCTCCATGGTAGTAGCTCCAGGACAAGGACATTGTAGGTATTCCATAAATATTTAGTGAATCAAACTGACATCTGCCTGAGTGTATGGACTGAGGCCTGGCACAGTTTGACTCTGCTCTGGAAATTATACACGCAAATGACCTAATGAGAAATTTGGTCTGGTCTTCTGAAGTCCCAAGTAGACTACGCATCTAACAATCCATGCATCTACCCATCACCCCCAAAATTATTTATAGAGCACTACTCTGTGTCAAGCACTAGAAAGGCAATAGTGAACAAGATTGTATAGTCAAGCAATAAGATAAGCAATGAACAATAAACCCAAATAATTAACCATCAAACCTGCTGTGTAGAAAAAAAAAAGAAAGAAAGAAAGAAACACACAGAGATTTGGAGCTGCACACCCAAATGGCATTGGTGCTAGAGATTCTGGTAAAAGCACCATTGTGTTGTATGAGAATTCTGCATGTTAATGGGTTTAACGGAGAGGGCAATGAAGAGGACCTGCAGGCTGCAGGGAGCATCAGTGATGGTGAGAAGGCAATCAAAGTGCAGGACATCAAAAACAATCTGAAAGAAATGATCAAAACCATTGTGGCTGCCATGAGCAACCTGGTGTCCCCCGTGGAGCTGGCCAACCCCGAGAACCAGTTCAGAGTGGACTACATCCTGAGTGTGGTGAGCATGCCCAACTTTGACTTCCCTCCTGAATTCTACGAGCACGCCAAGGCTCTGTGGGAGGATGAAGGAGTGCATGCCTGCTACAAACACTCCAACCAGTACCAGTTGATTGACTGTACCCAGTACTTCCTGGACAAGATGGATGTGATCAAGCAGGCTGACTCTGTGCCAAGCGACCAAGACCTGCTTCACCGCCATGTCCTGACTTCTGGAATCTTTGAGACCAAGCTCCAGGTGGACAAAGTCAACTTCCACACGTTTGACGTGGGTGGCCAGCATGATGAACGCCGCAAGGGGATCCAGTGCTTCAGCGATGTGACTGCCATCATCTTCATGGTGGCCAGCAGCAACTGCAACATGGTCATCCGGGAGGACAACCAGACCAGCTGCCTGCAGGAGGCTCTGAACCTCCTCAAGAGCATCTGCAACAACAGATGGCTGCACACCATCTCTGTGATTCTGTTCCTCAACAAGCAAGACCTGCTTGCTGAGAAAGTCCTTGCTAGGAAATCAAAGATTGAGGACTATGTTCCAGAATTTGCTCGCTACACTACTACTGAGGATACTACTCCTGAGTCTGGAGAGGACCCACACATGACCCCGGCAAAGTACTTCACCTGAGATGAGTTTCTGAGGATCAGCACTGCCACTGGAGGGAGCACCACTATTGCTCCCTCACTTCACCTGCGCTGTGGACACTGAGAACATCCGCCGTTGTTCCACGACTGCCATGACATAATTCAGCGCATGCACCTTCGTCAGTATGAGCTGCTCTAATAAGGGAACCCCCAAATTTAATTAAAGCCTTAAGCACAATTAATTAAAAGTGAAACATAATTGTGTAAGCAGTTAATCACCCACCATAGGACATGATTAACAAAGCAACCTTTCCCTTCCCCTGAGTGATTTTGAGAAACCCCCTTTACCCTTTGGCTTACTTAGATGTTCTAAATGTAGAAAGCTTAACGTGGCCTACAGAAAAAGAAAAAGGAAAGAAAGGCCACAAAAAGGTCCCCCTCACTTTCAGTAGAAATAAATAAAATAATAGCAGCAAACAGAAATAAAATGAAATAAAGAAACAAATGGAAAAAAAAAAAGAAAGAAAAGAGGGGGCAGGAAAACTCATTTAGGCAGAGTCATCAGAGACTTCTAGGAAGAGAAGAAACTTAAGATGAGCCCGGGAAAATGGGCAGAAGCTAGCCATAGGAAAGGCAAAAATGTTTCAGACCAAGAAAGATCTTGAGGCGGGGAAAGAAGTCGTTGCATCAAGGAAAGGAGAGAAAGCCAATGTGCACGGAGCAGAGTGAGGGAGGTGGAGGCTAAGTTGGAAGGGCAGGAGTAGTTCATGCTGAGCCTTGGACACTCCATACAGAGCAGATGCAGCCTAAGTGAATCATTCTTGGTCCTGCCTAAGAGAATGAATCGTGCGGGAGCAAGGGTGTGGGTAGGAGGAACTAGCGAGAGGTTGTTGGAAGAAATGATGACAGTGCAGAGAGAGAAAAGGACATCTCTTCCATATATATTTTGAAGAGGGACACGATAGGACTTATTAACATGTGAGATCAGGGAAAAGAATGACTCAGGATTGGCCTTAGGTTTGGGGCTTGACCAACCAAGTGAATGGTGATGCCAGTTGCAGAGATGGGGGAGGCTGAGGGAAGAGGGCAGGACTTTGGGAGGGAACCAAGAGTTCCTTTTCGGAAGTGCTACGCTTTGGAAACTCCAGAGCCTGCCATGGGACAGCCATCTATAGCCATCTCCCTTCCTGGTTCTGTCCTAGACAAGAACGGAGTTCTTGGGGTCCCAGGGAAGCTGGGAAGAAAGGGCCTGCAGTGCTGGCGGTGAATAAGCACCTAGCAAACACGGCATACGGCAGCACAGTCTCCAGCAAAGACCAACACTCAATGTTCTTTGGAAGCAAAGCGCAGGAACTTAAATGTTGACAGCTAATGACCAGGGGAAAAGGTGTTACCCAATCAGGAAAGCAGCACCCATCCAGCTCTCGGCATGTTGCCCTCAGTTCCATGAAGAAGGGTCCCTCATCCCACGCCACTGGAATGAAAAGCAGATTTGAAAGCAAGCACAGGCCTGCCAGCTGGGTACCGTTCAGACATCTGCCTACAATCAGGAGCCTCCAGCTCACGACTGGCTTCCTGCTAAGAAAAGCACATTTCTTCAGTGGCCACTGGTGTGGCACATCCACAAAGTATGCGTTGGGGCTTGCTGAGCTTCTGGGGGTTTAGGATGGATGAGGAGAGTGGCTGGAGCACTGTCCCCTAGCTCAAGCCTGGAGGATGCAAGAGCACTGAGACCATCAGACACTTGTTTTCAGGCAAGTATCAGGAGCCACTCACTTCCTAATGCCCTTTGGCTGTGAGCGCCAAAGAAATCCCGCCACTGGTCATCCCGGGTCACAGAGCCCTGGGGCCTTTCTTCTTACCACTGTGTTTTGGCTGGTTCTCAGTGCAGCTCAAGAGTGCAGGGATAAATGAAATCTCCTATTTACTTCCACTCTTGTGTGCTGGTGAGATTGTTCTCAAACACTACCCCACCATCACTGTTTCGCCCCCATGTTAGGACTGTTCTCATTAGCCATGAGAGACTTCAGAGACTAATGGACAATGGCAAAACCATACACAGAAATCGAACTCTGACCCACAACCTACAGCCACCTGCCCAGAAAATCCACCCCTTACCTATAATACACAGCCCAAGAAGCCAGCCTGCTGTGGGTCACACCTTATAGGAAGCCAGATTGCTATCTCAAGTGGCAATCCATGAAGCTAAACAATAACCTCTGTAACAATATAAGCCCCAAACGGCTAGGATTTGATGAATAACCAACAGGTTTCCTAATTTTTATCCCTGCTTCCAACTCAGGAACAAACGGGGAAAGCCACATAGGCACCCCTAAGCAACCGCATAGGACACCTCACTTCTAGTTGGCCTACCTGCAGTTTTACCATGCCGACAGCCTGCAGTCATTCCTGAAGCTTTCCTACTCCTCTTCCCGCCTTTGAGTCTCTGCCCAAACACAAGTAATGGTTGATGATTCCCTGGCTATAGCAAGCTCTGAATACATTGACTTTGCTTTTCTCATTTGGTTGGTCTGCATTTACTCACACAGCCAGTTATTGACTTTTCCTTTATGAATTTCCAAAATTAATTTAATAGTGCATTTGGGCAACCATATTGAGCCCCAGTGTAATGGGAACAGATTAAACTCCTGTATCAAAAAGACCCCTCACCATGGCCTAAATATGACAGGAGTTCAATTCTCTTCCACATGCCTGTCTGCAGATAAGGGATGGTGGAGGGTGGGGAGGGGAACACTATTCCTGAGGCCAGTCAGGAACCCAGACTTCCTTTTCCTGATTGCTCTACTGATCCCTGGGATGTTGTGCTCACCCATATGGTAGGAGCTGGCTCCACCCCACCGTGTCTGTGTTCTGGTTACGGGAAGGGGGAAAAGAGGATGAGCAGCTTCCCTTTGAAGGATGTAATCCGGAAGTTGTACACATTGCTGTCTCTTACAACTGGCCAGACTTAGCCATATGACTTCAACCGGCTGCCACGGATGCTGGTAAATGGAGTCTCTGCTGGTTCTTTGATGAAACCTGCTTTTATTCCTAAAGCAGAAGGAGAGAAAGTAGATATCGGAGGGCAACTGATGGGCTTTGCCACACCCATGTGATGCTGGGTACTAAAAGATGCATATTACACACCCTTTTTGCCCTTGGATGTTCCAGTCAACGATGATTCATGTGTAGGGTGAAGACTAGATCTTCTAGCTGGTATTTAAGGCCTGCCACACCGATTGCCATACTTACCCTTTCTCCAAAGATCCCCCTTCCCTCCTGTGTGCTCCTGCCAAACACTGCCCTCCTGCCCTGCCTGCCCCCAACCCCAGCATCTTGCTCCTTATACTAGGGATAAGAGCCACTTCCAAATTCAAATTAATTCCTTTACAACATTTATTCCTTCAGATTATTTCAAGAGTTGTAAAGCCCTGCCCCTCCATGCTGGTGAGGATGAGGGAGAGGGTGGCAGAAAATTTCCCCACCATGGCATCTGCTGCACAGTGTTGCCATTAACTCTTTATTGTCTGCACTTTTGCCTAACTGTGAATTCAGCCAGGGACAACAGCCCTGATTTTCTAGGTGTTGTCACTGGAGAAAAGTCTCTTCATACACTGTGGACTGCGGTTACTTAACCCTATTATCCACCTGAGGGCAGCCCCTGAGAGTCCAGACAGAGCTCTTTGGAGGAATGATGGAGAGGTTTAAACTCATAACATCACCGTCTATGTGAGCCAGCTAGAATATCACAATCTCCAAGAAGCTCCTGGGGCGCCCATACATGAACTAAAGCTTCTCCCCTGTAGAAAGGGGGCAGCTCTCAGGTCCACGAGGTCTGGCCACTGGCATGTGACTTTGATGTATTACACCTGTCCCTTGGAACAGCTTGTTCTGTAGCTTATTTTGACTGGCACAGACTAATCCCCTCCCCTTAGATCCCATCTCTGAATTCACAGCCATTCCGGGTATTCAGTGAACTCTGCTCACCCCACCAGCACAGAAACTCAGGCCAGGCCATCTCAGGCCTGTATGAGTCCTTAGCAGTTTAGAATCTCTTCAAATTAATGAAAGATTTATTCAACATCTATTTAGAGAAGAAGACTAATTAGCAGCTTTGTATGGCAGACTGGTGAATATGGTGGCTTCCTGGTGGCACCATTCTGCCTCTCCTCTATTGGTATAAGCAATTCCGCTCTGACCTCAGTCTGCATCCTCTGCTCAGGCAATCAGCCCTTCATGTAACTTTTACCTGAAAAGGGCCCATAACTGTCTCAACATCTCCCCTTTATTTACCCTCCAGTAGCTGATTAAGTTATTGTTCTATTTCTCTTCCTGAAAAGCGTTCTGATGAGTACTATTTTCTCCATCCCATTCCATTTCCAGGAATCTTTTAGCATATTTTATAGATTGCTGCCATGCCCCTAACCCAGATCTCAGCTCAGACAGCTTAGCTCCACTACTGCTCCCTCGGCCTGGCTGCACAGCACTGCCCCACCAGTGCCAGCCAGCACTAAGCCCTCTCCATCGCCCCTACTTCCAGCCCAGCCTGAGCCCAGACTTGTGATTGTCTTCCTTCCATCACGTCCTGCCTTGGCAGATTGCGGGGAAAACTGAGCATCAAAAAGTCACCTGTATATTATGTCTCCTGACCTCCGAAGAAGCAAATTAGGGTATTAAAATAAGACAAACTGGGCTTCAGTAGGAGTGGAAGACCCAATTACAGTCTCGTAACTCAAGGTTGTTTGTTAAAAACAAAACCAAAACTGGAACTCTTTCCATTTTTAAACAAAGTGAACTTTTGATATTAATTCTGACCTTAAAAAAAAAAAGAAAGAAAAGAGATGCTTTTCTCCTCATGATTTCAATTTCAAGAATTGTGTGCTATCAAGCCCTCAATAGCGCAAGGGTGGAGGGTGGAGGCATTTTCTGATTCACATCAGCCCCCAGCTGCCTGAGGATTGTGAAACCCCGCACGGCTTTCCACAGCACACCCAATCCACGGACTTCCTCGGCTCTCCCTTCAAGCTCTCCCCAGCTCTATCCACATAGACTCAGTAATTTGGGGTGGAAGCTATTTAGCAGTTTCTTTATGATTAAATGATTACACTGTTCACGTTTCCATACCTGCAAATACCCAAGAGAATCCGAATCTATTTCAATTATCTTGTTTATTAGCATCTCCAGCTTTTCCCGTCTGCTAATAAGAACTGGAGCTCTGGGTTGAGGTAATCCCTTCAGAAGTTAAATTATTTTGTGTATTCAG